GAATCAAGCACACATGACCAGTGAGATTTTAATGCACAGAGAGGTTGACGTAGGTGATGAGACATTCAGTAATGTTGTCCAGAGTCCCATGTTACTATGGCTGAAACGCACTGGCTGGCCTTTTACACTTTCAGGACGCTACGGCATTCAGAATCATGGCCTGCTTTTCCTTTGTGTGCTCATCCTTCTCCGTGGGTAAGAGCCTATCAGTAATGAGCTTGGCCCTTTATACAGTAGAAAAAGAAATTTGGTGCAAAACAACGCCTGCTCAAAGAAAATTGTCTTCACTCTGGGGAGTCAGTCAATATTCATTTAATTTGTTAAGATCATTATTTGTATGACCTGTGTTTTTATAAAATGAGGAGAAAAGCAGCAAAAATCATTGTCATCATTTGGCACAATTTTCAGTTGCTTTAGTCTTGTAGGTCAAAATAGATTATGTAGTTTCCCATTGTAATAATGTTATACCCATTCCATATATTCCATGAATTGCAGTGATACAGCTTTGTTTTTGGTTGCCACGGTGCATGATTTTGGTGTTCTTTGGTGTTCGTGCCATTTTGCTGTTTTTGTGTTACAATGCAGTGGAAAATACATATGGGTGCTTTCTTTTCACAGTGAACTGTATATTCTGTAATATGTAGCTTAGCAAAGTTGAAACAGGCGTCTCTGATATGAATAAGTATCAGTTTGCTAAAGAAGAATCTGTCAGTGACAATGAGAAAGTAATAACCGACTATCATTCAGAACTCTGGCATTCAGGGACATACAGTGCACTGCCATTTTGATATAAGAATATATAAGAATTTTGACTCTCATGGTTAAAACATTGCTGATTATACTTTTCATTTTGGTGGCACTGACCAATTCATTGGTGTAATTATTTGCTTTTGAGTTAATTGTTTTGGGTAAGTTACAGGATTTTCCAACTAAACCATAGTCTTGTGCTATAGGCATGAACTTTTTTGAGAAATGCTCTTATAGCCTTGGGAATGGTAAGTATGTTTCATGAAATTTGCCAAAGAAATCGAGAAAAACTGTAATAAAAACACTACAGCAGGGGTGGCCGATCTTATCCAGAAAGGGCCGCAGTGTATGTGGGTTTTTGCTGCAACTCCCTAACTAGATTATTGATTAGACAACTTATTGGCCGAAGAGTCCTCACACCTGGGTTTGATCAGCTGACCTAAAGGTTATCCCAAAAACCCGCATACACACCGGCCTTTTGCGGATAAGATTGGCCACCCCTGCTTGACTACAGAAATGTGAATGGGAGTTGAATGACCATAGGTATAGGAAAACAATCCAAAAAATGACATTAATTGTGTGTGTTCATATTATTAGTCCCACAACTAAATTTATAATGACACACTTTGATTCATAAATAACTTTTGGCATCTGAAATAAAAAGCTGAAAACTATAACAGAACTCATAAAAACCCATTTTTATCTCAACAAGAAACAATAGTCAGACATATTAGCCAATTCCTTCTTTATCATAATTCCATATAGCAATACTTTCCATAACCATAATCCCATATAAATGTAATAAATGCAAATAAACATGTTTTGTAGTTTCTCAGTTTACAATCATGAATTCCACAGTAAGCTGGTAGGTGAAGATTTGGGTTGAAAGCATAGTTATTTAGAAGCTCACAGACAATTTTGGTTTACATTTGGCAAAATTAATATATATTTTTAGCATTATCAGGAGAGGGACAAAATTCTTCCAGGAAAGGATCATGGGAGGAAGATATAATCATCTGTGAAAGATGTATTTTTGTGTTTATTGTGCAAATATTCTGGGATCAGTGGCATGTAAATGTCACATAAGAGCATGGACTCTTCCAGGAGTCCAAGGGGACGCCCACGTGACACTTGGCTGCGGCAGACAGATCGCCATTTCCGGAGGGTGGGACTGGGGGGTTGCTAACCGGGATGCTGAGGTGTTTCGTGGTGTGGTGGGTGCAGCAATGTGCTGTATGAGCACCTGCTCCCCGACCAGACCGGACCTGAGCCCATCCAGGACAGTATATCGGAAAATAGCATCCAGTGCTTTAGGCGACATAGGGAGCTGTCTTCAGCGCTGACTCAGCAAGCTGATTTCTCCTTTGTGTGCCCCTAGAAGTACTTGCACCCTCTGCTATACCCACATAGAACAGCTACACCATGTGAGGGAAAGGGAAAGGTGTATAGAATGCTTTCAGAGTAACATGCTGTGACCAAACTAGGGCTGTCAAACTATTTATTGGCGATTAATCACGAATAAAATCATGTTCCAATACCATATAAATTAAGATTTTATAGTCTGTTTATTAAGTAAAGAAATTTAATTCTATTAAGAATCTTTGTTCCTATTATTCTCCCATTGGCAAATCAATTCAATTCAATTTATTTTTATATAGCGCCTTTCCTAACATTGTTCCATTTGACAAGACAGTTGTTAAAACCTTTTTCTTTTATGGTATAGGATGGAAGGATAGACAGCATCATGGTGAGATTATTTTGGGTTTCTGTAATGGGATGATTAGAATAAACCCACTGGTACTCTGAGCAGGCAGCTGCATCAAATTCCCAAAAAACAGCTATTTTGAGATTGTTTTGGATTTATGTAATGGCGAGCAGGGGGTGCCGGGGGGGCAGTTAGTAACATGGGCCCATTCCAAGGGCCCCTGAATGACTGCGGCCCTAAAAAATTTGGAACATAATCCGATTGATCTGTGTTGGGGGCCCAGTATGATGTGCTTTCATGGGGCCCAAAATCTTTAGCAGCAGCCCCTGATGGCGAGTTTGCCACAGCAGTGAAAAGAATCGCTTGTTTCCCTCAGAAATACACCAGTGTGATCACATGACCTGACAAAAGTCCCAGTCTGACAACAGTTGGAAATATTTGGCTAATCTTGAAGGGAAATGCTGCTCGCTAAATTCTGAGGAGGCTAGAGCAGATGAAGGCCTGCTTATCAGGCAGCTGAGGCATGGAGATGGATCCATGGCTGGATGAACACATGAGGGCCGTCAGCAGCCATGACGGGGATCCAAGTAAATAGTGACAAGCAAAAAGAAAAAAGGATGTAGTGATATTATAAGTTTCCCAATTTTTATGTCAGGTTGCATAAGTATAAAATATATGGAATATTCCTGCAAAATAGGTCATTTGCAAAAAAAAAAATTGTCACCTGTTTCCACATCAGTGGAGATGGAGTCTTATATATTTATTTTATTAGTTGAAGAGGGTAGTGAAGGTCATGGACTTGAAGCTTGGCAGTTCTGGAATGAGTTGCGGCAAAGATATTCGAGCCGAATATCCAGCATAAACATGTGTGGGTAAAATATTTATCCTTTTAGATAGAAGTATCACCTAAGCAGCAGAATGTAAATGCTTAATGGATTGCATGGATGTGAAATTACATTCACACATTGTACACTCCATTAAGCAGCTCTTACTGCGTGGTACGGATATGGCAGATACAGCATGGCATGTGTTTCCAAATGGGCATTAAGAAACCTCTGCATCCTGTGACTGGAGAAGAAATGAGAACCCGAAGGGTTTTACCGTTTAATGCGGAGCGACAAGTTAGCATTGTTGAATTGGTGTTCAAAAAAACCTGGAAAGATATTTAATCTGATGAAGCCACCGTCCTAACAGAAAATGGCATTTTGAAATTAAAAATACGCTGCAGAAATCAATTGACTGGAAGCAGGAAGCTCCGTCGCTGAATTGGTTGCTCTAGAAACAACTGTGGGAGGTGGAGGGAGAGGGAGGACGTGCAAAATGCCAATTTGTGCAGCTTAACTGAGTCAAATGTGATGTAATATCTGTGGTCATTATAAATGGAGAAAAGAGGTGAGAGAAGATCCCCTCCCCCGTGCGTGCACTCATTCAAAGTGGCAGATCAACCACGTACTTCCAAAGTTTTTTGCCCACCTGAAATAAGGAATCACTCATGGTCACCCCCAACCCTGCCAGTGCAGTTGCTTTTGAACATTTCTTTGGCGAATGTGTTTCTAATATATTGAATATATTTCTGTCCTCACAGCCTGGCAATCTGACTTACTGTGCCTGGCGTTTTGTGTTTATACGATTATCTGGATCATGGACTGATTTGTTTGCATCTTTGTGGTCATTCCATCCGGCACATTCTATCTTGGCTATTAGTGCTGAATGGAGGAAGGTGGACTTTTATAAGAAGCTGAATTATATTACTAATTACAAATGTACTGTGTATTTAATCATTTGGACATTTTTTCGAATATTTAAGTCTTAAAAATGTGCCCATTCATCTGCTCTGCTGTCATTAGGCGGTATGAGGGAGTTGGAGAGCTTGCTGCGGGTTTAGGGTTTGAGTGATGAATGATACATCTTAATGTTATATGGGATGCTGTTCGTAACACTGTGGCTCAGTGCAGCAGGTAGTTATTTAGTTACTTACGGTTAGAGTGAGTCATGTTGAGTTTGCTTTGCTTGATTGTGCCTCAGCCAACTGACTCAGCCCTTCGGTCTAAGCAGACATGCAGACGTGCTGCTATTTTTCGGGATTTGTACCATATGTATTTGATAAAAGTTTCATAATGTTTGAGATGAGTAAGAAACCACAGCCTGCTGGACTGTTTTACCTTTTGCAATGTATATATTTCTTTATTCAGGTGAAAATCTTTACGTAATGTATCATGCGCAATAAAATATTGATGTTCTGAGTGCTAATCTGGTCTACTGAAGCGGTATGTTGGTTATTTATTTATGCCTCACCTTACAGAATTGCATTTATATGGTTTGATGTGTAATCTGATTGCCATAGTAGACATATTTCTCAGGGTTATGACATGATTACAGCAACTATCTGGCTTATTTATGAGTAAACTGTCTTCGCTGAAATAAACGCTGCAATCGGATGTTGCTAAATATAGAAACAGATACATTTTACAGTTGGGAATTTGTCCTGATTCCTGTCCATGCTGTCGTCTCTAATGTCCCTTCTCTGTATCTGTTTTTGTGTCCATAGGCCAACGACGCCTCTGGGAATACCTGGAACTGGCTGTACTTCATCCCTCTCATCATTATTGGCTCCTTCTTCATGCTCAACCTTGTTTTGGGAGTTCTGTCAGGGTGAGTGGCAGGAAACGGCACCGCAGGGCTGCCAGCATGCCCACAATGTCCGTTCCTCAACCCAGCTCCATGCAGCTCTAAATTCAGCGCAGGCAGCCCCAGCTGGTGCCTTGTCTTGACCTTGGTTTAGGTGTCTTTATTGTGGTGGGAGCATCTGAAGTCTCTGTAGATGAAGAGATGGCTGCAGGGAAAATGCTAGTGTGTCAGACAAGAAGCTGTCCAGCTTAACCAAGACACTTTTGAACATGCATTGTCCTTCCATCATAGGCTTTGGTTTCTGGTGTCCAGCAGAATATGGGTGGATGCTGTTTAGCAGAAACATCTCTTAATGTAAATCATCTACTCGTCTGAGAATGTGAGGGATGTAGTATACCACCTAACCCTAGAGCTATAACTGGAGAACTCCAAGCCATTTTGCAGTTACTGTTAATGTAAAATAATGATCTCATAGGAGAGGTGGGCAGTGGCCAGTGTCTGGCTGTTATATGCATAAAAGAAACAAGACTGATTCGTGGATTTAGGTAAAATCAAAAAAACACTCATTTGTGCTTCCTGCTGTTTGCTTATAATTGGCTTCACTTGGAAAAACAAATCAGGAAACGATCAGAGGAAATGAAAGAATAACACAATTACATAAACTTTAGCTTATATACAGTGTGTGTATGTTTATATATGTGTGTGTGTGTATATGTATATACAGTATATATATATATATATATAGATGTGTAGAGAGAGAGAGAGCAGTGTCTTTATGTCTTTTCTTTTTCTGTGGTAAATATTTAAACACTGTAGAGACTTGGCTGCAGACAAGCCAGTTTGGGTGTTTCTCAGTGACAGAAAGTCTAAATTTAAACACCTTATTGCCAGTGGTGCGTAATCTGCAGCCATGTATCTGTTCATAGTGGTGAAATGAAGATGGAAGAGACCCATATTCTGGTTGTCTTTGTCGAGGAGTATACACACACACACGCACACGCATACACACACACACGCACACGCATACACACACACACGCACATACACACACGCATACACACACACGCGCACGTACGCACACGCATACACACATACGCACACAGGTTTGTAATTATATTTTTGTGGGGACTCTCTATTCATTTTAATGGGGAAAACTCTAATCCCAGCATGACAACCTTAACCGCTACCCAGCCCTAACCTTACCCATAAGTAACCAAACAAAATATATTTGGCATTTTTACTCCACACAATGTACTATAAAGCTAATCCACACACACACACACATGCACATATCTGAACATACATACACAGAAACACACAGAGACACAGACACACTGTGCCTAATGAAAGCACTATGTTCTACTGTAGCTACTGCAGGGAGCTGAATTTATGACTTCTCGGAAACCCAATCTAATTTTCACTGCTTTCCACCCAAATGGCTTTCCTGTTCTCAGCGGTGTCGACGTGGTATTAAGCTTTTATTGTTGTGTTCTTGTTTGATAACTCCTGCCTTATCCGTTTCCCCTTTTTGCTGTTTTTTTGCTCTTATGAGTTTACACTTAGAATAGAATCATAATTTTTGCATTGGTTTATTCTTACACCTGTATTACTCTATAAGCATATGACTTACACACTTTTGCTACTCTATTGTAAAACCAGTCGTGCAACATTCTCTTGTTGTGATGCAGAAAAAATTAAATACCCCCCAGCCCGGCCCTCTTTGATGGGCCTTTCTGCCCTTGATCAGAACTTAAATCAGAAGTTAAACTCCTCCTGTGTCACAGCAGGAAGTTCATTAATTTGCACGTCTCATAGTCAAGGTGAACGCCTTCCCTCAGAGACGCTGTGCTCAGAGCTTTACTGATTCCGGAAGGTTCTGCCGAAGATGTTCTGTTTGCAAATGGCCGATCAGCGTTGTGTCCGCGCATCTGTGTAAATCCGTCACATTTGCTTGTGCGGGTTTTTGCATAACTGAGCACTGCTTTCTGTCGTGACCCTCGGTGGAGTTTCATAGCCTTTCTGTCCCAAAGAGAACATCTGCTTCACACAGGTGAGCTGCCAGTCAGAAATCCAGACTGACCTCCGCATCCCACCTCACCGCTCACAGCAAAATAATCTGTTTCTCTCACTGTAGAAAAAATATAGATCTCCTGTGACAAGCAATAGATGGTAGGCATAACCTGGAAGGATGCTGGTGTGACGCTGTTAGCAAACTTTCTGAGTGTGCTTTAATTTCTGAAAGCAAGAATGCTGCACTGAGCTGGTCTCTATTCCTGATTTACAGTGTTTACAATAAAGCCTGTCCTTTTGTTCTGTTATAAACCCAATTAATTTTTTTCTATTTGTTTAGCAAAGGCTGGTGGTGCAGTGTGTGGCACTGTTGCCTCACCCCTTTGGGACCTGGGTTTGAGTCTCCATCTTGGCTCCATGTGTGTAGAGTTTGCATGTTCTCCCTGTGTTGTCATGAGGTTCTCTTCAGGTACTCCAATTCCCCGCTACAGTCCCAAAAGATGCTGAGGTTAATTACAGTGTGTGTGGTCCAGGTATACCTTACCTTGTCCCCACAATGTGATGGATGCCTGTTTTTTTAATCTTATGGGGACCAGGAGTGTTTGTGTGTGTGTGTGTGTGTGTGTGTGCCCTGCGATGGGTTGGTGCCCTCATCCTGGGTTGTTCCCTGCCTTGTACCTTGTACATAGCTGCTCGGATAGGCTCTGGGCCCCCTGCAACCTCGAATGGGATTAATGATTTCAGAAAATGGATGGATGTTTAGAAGGAAAAGAAAGGTGATATAGATGGAAAATGGCATATGCATTTTGAGAAGAACCTGAACATTTTACTCAGCTGCCTGATGTCAAAAGTCATCTAATTTTTTGCTGATTAATACAGTTGCCCCCCCCCCCCCGTCGTTCAGCCACCTTCAACAATCAGTGCACTTCACCGCTACAGTACCAAAATTTTTTTTTTAATTTATTAGCTGATATCTACAGTTGTGGCTTGAATGCCACCACGCCGGCGCACAGAGATGGCTGTGTGTTCTGTGCCGTTTGCGGAGGCCCTTGTGGCACTTGGCTGATACGTAGCCCTTCTATGTCAGGCGGAGCCGCCCACTTTGCTCTCGGGGAGGGAGCTGAAGGACAGTCACACGTGGGAAACATGACATTTAGGTGCTGTGAAGGCTGGAGGCCCTGTCTGGGGTCAGGTGACACGCTGTAGGCAGAGCAAAGGGCCCCAGCAGCCGCCTAGGCTCTTATCACAGCGGGGCTAATGTACTCCCTGGGGGGGGGGCTAACTTCAAACAGGCTGGCGTGCTATTCTACCTCCAAAGGTCGTTTATGAAACTCCTTCTTCCGGTAATGGAGTCACTGCATGGAGACAATGGGCATCAAATGGCAACATTTCTACACTGGCATTTTTTTTTTACTTTAGCTCTTGTTTCTTGCCCTTATTGGGAGTGTGCATATGGGATGCCCCCCCTGCCGCTCTTGCTGTTTGTTCGGACCCCTCCCACGCCCTCCATGGGCAGCTTGTGTCTGGGACCTCTGCTCTGTATCCGCGTGCCCCCCAACCCCCTGGTCCTTCACACGACGGCCAGCCTCTGCCGGACCTTTGCGTTTCCATGGTACTGGACACCACAGCTGGCGTCAGGATGTATTATTTCGGCGGGTCCGGCAGAGCATTTCTGACATTAGACGGCAAAGGGCAGGCGCTGCTCGGAGGGCGGGGCTGCAGACACATGCAGGGATGAGAGGGATGAGAGGGATGAGAGGGATGAGAGTCCCCTGTCACACGCCCTATCCTGATGGAGAGCATCAGGTTTCATGTGAGGCATTGTACAGCGGCGATGTCTGAGTCACGGTACAGTGGGCAGGGGGGGAGATAATGGTGCCCTCTGTACCTCTCAGGTCCTGAAAGAGACATAAATCATTTGCTGCTACCAGTTCAGGTGAGAATGCAGTAAAGGCAGAATTGTCGCCCATCTGGAGATCAGCCCACATAAGTGCAATTACAGCTGCACGTAAATATGTAAAAAATGTGGAAATACTGAAAACGATATTAAACCCCAAAAGAATTGCACACACATCAGTCACACACAATACGTGCACAGAAATGTATGTGCACAAGTAAGGGCACGATCGCAAACACACACACACACACACACACACACACATACAAACACGCACAGAGTCAGGTAAACATAAGGGGGAAAAAAAACGGGTATTCATCACTTTGTGGGGACATTGTGTCCCCATAAGGTAAGGTTTACCCGCTCGCACACACACACACACACATAGTGTAGAAGGTCATTGCTGAAAGATCGGGCCCAGCGGGAGCCTACCCAGCCGAGTTTGCCATTTGAAGGCCCGGTCGCTGCCTTCTCCATCCTCAGGCTAGGCTGCTATCGATCCAGCACAAACACACAAAATAGCAGGTCCACAGCACTCCTCTGCACCTTAGATCATGCTCAGGTTAGCCAGTAAAATTTCATGTCCTCTTTTTTTCTCTGCGAACATGAACAGTATAAAAACATTAAGGGTGTAAAAGGGTGGATCGTTTCCTTTAGCGTCCATCTGAATTGAGATAGGTGTGATCGCATCGGCCAATCGATTGTTAAAACAGTAAAACGTCATCAGTTTGCTCTTGATTTACCTCAATCAATGAAATTACGCCTTTTTTCTGCTGTGTTTCCATGTTGCCAGTTAAATAATGAGAAGCTGGGTGGCTCTGTTTGTGTACCTCAGACATGGGTGGGTCGCTGTGATCTGGGGGGGGGGGCTGCAGAGAGAGCAGGGATTCCTGTACAGCGTCAGTACTCCCTCCCTCACTCTGCCTCGCCCCCTCTTGCAGGCACTGCAGTATTGGCGGGGGGGGGTTAGGGGGTCTTCCTCCTCCAGCGATGCGTGGGAGGCAGCGTGAGCAGGGATTATTGTGTGAATGTGCTGGAGTCCCTCACACCTTCTGGCTCCCCCCTCAGATACACTTAGAAGGCTAATGGCACCTAGAGGAAAGACGTAGGTGGGGAGAACAGATATAAACACAAATCATGCATCTCGTTTCAGCAGCTTTACAGCAGAATTGGGCTCCTTTAAATGCCTCATTATTGCATTACAGAATTTAGTTGCTTTTCGCAGCTTTTATCCGGAGTAACTTACTTAACCTGGGATTTTTAAAAGGATTTTTACTGCAGTTATTGGGTTTAAGTCCCTAGCTGGAGGGGGTGCAGCGGACCCCCCCTTGGGTGCTGAACTGACAGCTTCGGGTTACAGTATATCAAGGTCCTGTTTCCTTTTTATATTTAATGTTGTCTCTTTCATTCAATTCACCATCTGGCCTCCCATGAGCTTAACTGTCTGTCTGTGTTCAGTGACAGTGACACTGTACCTACCTGAAATCTAAATAACAAATAGCAAATGGCAATTACTTATGTCAATACAGATATTTTCCTCAATGCCACTAAGCAGCATTTCATGTTCAGCACATAAGGTCAGTTTTAAGCATAATTATAATTTCAATGATTATCAAGTTTTGGTGAGCAGAACAAATGTTTATCAATGACTTTAGTTTTTTTTTTTTCCCCTTTCCCTGCATGTGAGGAATACTTCTCCAGATATACTGCTGCATAGCAATTGAAATGACTACTTTATAATTCCTCAGTTTATCACATTCACCCGAATACTCATACTGCTGTTTGAAATCAGATTGCAATCCATGTCTGCTCAAGTCTTATAAATATTGCAAAAATAAAACCTTCTAAAGCATAAATAATAGCCTTAATACAATACAAGATAATACATTAATGACCTAAATTAATTCTTTTTTACTTATAGTGTAAAATACTCAAGAGTTTGAGTGCCGGTATTTGGAATCGGTTTTACCGCGGTGCACCTGCTGCCCTGGCTTCCCCTTTATGGCACATGTGCTCACAGGGAATTCGCCAAGGAGCGAGAGCGCGTCGAGAAGAGGCAGGAATTCCTGAAGCTTCGCCGGCAGCAGCAGATCGAGAGGGAGCTGACGGGCTACTTGGAGTGGATCTGCAAGGCGGGTCAGAACGCTCTCTACTTCCTGTGACCTTTGCGCACACAAGAAGCCGGGACTCACACGGTCTGCCAGATGTCTGCACTGACATCGAGATACGGAAGGGAATGCAGGGTGCCTTCTGGTAAACATGGTGCTGTGTAGCCATAAAAAACAAGCTAAGTCAGTGAAAGCCCCCTCCCTTGTGAGCAGTCATTTATGAATCACATTTTGCCTTTTCCTGGAGGGCTAATTCTGATACGGAGCAACCACCTTTACCCTCTTGTTGTTCTGCAAGACTAACATGAGTGGCAGCTTATGAATTTCTGAAGACAGCCCATCCCATTTTCATTTATTTACTTGACTGCACTCAGCCTCTGTGACGGACAGATTCTGAATTTGCTGGGCTGCTGAGGGCACACCCACCACATCCTGTCATATTACGCTACCAGGAAAATTAGTGCAGTGACTTACTGATCATTAGGATTACATTAGGGAATTATTCTTTTAGAAGAAATCCTAAACATTTTATTATTTCTTTTGTTTCATTTTTTTTTTCTTCTAATTTTGCATTGATACACAACCAGGACAGAAAAAAAATCAGCTGTCAGAGCAGGGATCTGCTTCCTTTTCCTCAGGTGAAGCTGGCTTTTCATAAAACTTCTGTGTTCTGGTTTCAGAGGAAGTCATGCTGGCCGAGGAAGACAAGAATGCGGAAGAGAAGTCCCCCCTGGATGGTGCATGGTACAAGCGGAAACACAACAACCCAGGTTAACCAACAATTGAGACATTGGTGCTTTTTTATTACAGGATGGTGTGTTGCAGGTTACTATATTGCAGCCTGAAAGCAGTGATATTATTCTGACAAGCTTGTATTCACAAGTGATCAATGATTAATTATAGTATTGCAGTGAGATGCCATCATAATTATTGTTAAATATACCGCGATGTTTTCACCTGGGAACAAGGAACTTCTGCCACTGAAGAAGCATTTAATCAATTCCATGGATCCGTTACATCAGCAGTTCATGTCTGGTGCTCTGAGCAGCTAATTGTATGACAGAAACGTTGTAATGGATAGTTGCATAATAAATATTTTACACTGCGTTCGTTGGCTCATTAATTAGGGTCCACTGTGAAAAAAAAGGCAAACATCACATATAGTTAGAGTTAGACGGAGGCTGGCAAAACTCATTCAACCTCTTGTGAGTCGTCTCCCACAGTAAGTCAAAGGACCCGTGATCCCATCAGAGCTACCGCGTCCGCAGCAGTAGCAAGGCACCTGCATGTTGGCCACAGCTGAATAGCAGCATGCTAGGAGGTACACAGTGAGCTTTGAGTGGCTCAGCAAACCAGCATCATGATCTGAAGGGTGCAGTATGTCTCCTGTTAAGAAAGAATTACTGATTTTAGCCGGTCCTAGTGGGTGAAGGTAAACAGGAAGTTCCTTTGAAATGACCATATACTGCTCCATTCTTTTGAGGGTGTGGTGTGTTGCTCAGTGAGTTAGACTTCTGTGCCTGTGAAGAGAAAGTCACTGGTTTGAGGCTAGTCATACCACCATTGGGTCCTTGAGTGAAGCCACACCCCCAAAATGCTGGATGAGTGGCCTGACCCTGCAGACCCCAAGCTCTGCTTTCAACTGTGTTTGAGATATACGTCTCAAAAAGGAGAGCAAGGTTGGGATACTGCACGGAGAGCAGGGCACCGAGTAGCCGATGTACAATCACAAACAGCTTTGAAATATTTATCTCAGTGATTATGAACATGATGTGACTAATTCTATAAGCCAATTCAATTATTAAAAGACCATGAAAAAAACAAAAAACATATGCACAGATGGTGAGCGATAATACATTTTCAAAATATACCGCAAGCTATGCAATTCACGTAAACCGGTCAGATTAAGGGTGTCTAAAAAAATTCAAATGAATAATTCAATTAATTGTGCCACAAGGCACAGACGTGTACGTTGGGTGCAACAGAGGCCAAACAGTATAGATGTTGCCTCACCCTTTTTTCAGAGGTGGAAGTACGTCAGAGTTATGTAGATGAGAAACGCTTTTACCTCATTGACGTTTTGCCAATTATCAGTGTGAGAGTCCCTGTCACACCAGTGAAAGGATCTGTTGGTCTTGGAGAGGCGTTATATTATGGGATAGAGATGGTTAAAAACCATCAGCTGTTTCAGCTCATGAGAAAACATTAATGAAGCATAATTCAGCTCCTGCCATCTTACACAAAGTACAACTCAACCATTACTAATCTTTATGGGAATGAGACACTTGGGAAGCTAATTGGAGTATGTGGCTTCACTCCTTACTGCTATGCCTCACCTGTCCTATAGCCAAACACTGACTGATGCAAGCTTGGAAATACTGTGGGACAGTGTGGTGATGTGTGATGCAACGAGCATTGTAGGGAAATGCTGGTCACGGGATCAGCCATGTCCTGAGTTCTTCATCTCTGTGTGTCCAGTGCTGAAAAGAGTCAAAGCCAAGAAAAGCAAAAACGACCTCATTAATGCCGAAGAAGGAGAGGACCATTTCACTGACATCTCTTCTGTAGGTGAGGCTGACCTTTGACCTTTTACCTCATGGCCCATGAACATGTGTTCTCCTCCAGCCGGCTCACGTCTGCAGGATCTTATGAGATTGCCCTTTAGGACCTTACAATTATCAGATGTTTATAGCCTTTCGCTTCATAAATCCAGGCTTCGATGATGCTTTCAATCAAGTGTCCTTTATTTAACCAGCGCTATTTCAATAATGTAGCGTTAGGTTGAATATTAAACTCAGACAGAGTAAATTACAGCTTGCAAATATGGAACTGTGTTAGCTCAGTGAAGTGGTTCGTCCAGGTCCAGGAAGCAGAAACGGGATGTTCAGTGACTGATCATAGCAGCTAATATTTTTCTTTTCTTTTTGTTTGTCTTTTCCGACATTCATTTTCCTGTCCTGTATTATGCTGCATAGTTGAATGGACTTTTAGTGATTGGGTCAGGGGTGGAATTTTGGCGGGGGGGGGGGGGGGCTGCTAATCTCAACTTTTTAGAAACCACAGAAAAGACTTTTTGTTGTAAAAGGAGAGTAATGGTCCCACAAGACAAACAACATTTGTGTATACTGTGCAAATTATTATGTGTGTCTCTGATTGCTGAATGCAAATATCAACATGGTTTGTTGCTCCTAGTATGTGGACGCTATGGCTGTTAAATAGATATAGCCAGTATCATATGCCGAGTCCTGTTAAAAGTTTCATGCCACTCAAATTTTATTATTCAACAAGACATTACTATAATGGGGCCACTGAGTTTTTCTCATCCCCCCCAAGACAAAAGCTTTACTCCACCCCTGGATCAGATGCAGGCCAGAGAGCTCAAATTAGTGAGGACATAGTGAAGATATGACAATTTTGTCCCTGTGTCCCTGACCAGGATAGGTAAATTTAAGGATGGATGGATGGATGGAAGGATGGGTGGGTGGATGAATTGATGGATGGATGGATGGATAGGTGAATAGGCATGTAATAATACATAGTTCTTTTGTATAACACACTCCTTGTTCTTAAAGGACTGGTCAGGTTCACTAGGTCTGCCATGTCAGGGACTCCTGAAATGTCTGACTTAATTTCATGTTCTTTGGATAATTATGAGCGGTGAGCATGAGCCAGATTTGCCGACCCGGTGGCTTTATCGCTAGTGTGTGCGCCCTCCCCCCCACTGCACCCCCAGGATCGCCCTTCGCCCGGGCCAGCCTGAAGAGCAGCAAGAACGAGAGCTCCTCCTACCTCCGGCGCAAGGAGAAACGCCTACGCTTCTTCATCCGCCGCATGGTGAAATCCCAGACCTTTTATTGGCTGGTGCTGTGCCTGGTGGGCCTGAACACGCTCTGCGTGGCCATCGTGCACTACGACCAGCCCAACTGGCTCACCTACGCCCTCTGTAAGCACCGACACCCCCTGTGTTCATGCCAAACAAAACTCTCAGTCGGCTTCTCCTTGAATACGGTGATTCCCAGCATGTCTGCTCACATAACTGTTCCTTTCCTTCAGGAAGCTGCTGGGTCCGTCCTGCAGTATTATTTGATTCTCTTTGTCAAAGCATGATATTTTCATGAAATTATTTGCTTAAATCTGCCATGGATGGTGTCCTTACTAGCATATTAATCTGGGGCCTCTTAGCCAATTTTAAAACCTCAGTTAATCAATTTTACACCATATTTGGTAACGCTTTACATTAACTGCACTTTCACAATGCATTCATTATGCATTCATAGAACATTCAGTGCACCTTCGTAATGCATTCATAGAACATTCATAAGCAGCATGCAAGTACACCTTAACATCCTAACATCCCTTAACAAATTTAATATACATTAATAGCAAACATTACATGATTATACAATCATAATGTTTGTTATTATTATATAATGTTTGTTATTAATGTTTATTACAGCTGTTAAGGGATGTTAGGATGTTAAGGTATACATACATGATGTTTATCAATGTTTTATGAATACTTAATGAATACATTATGAAGGTGTACTGAACATTTTATGGATGCAATATAAAAGCTTTATGAAGGTGCAGTTAATCTAAAGCGTTACCCTGTTTTCTTACAAATACTTTTTAAAATAGATTTTGTTGTATTTATAAAGATGCTGCTCGACACAATATTGACAAGATCCTGCTTCTGCTGTTTCCTATGGAAGCTTACTTTACGTACTTTATAAAAAGACTAAATTAATAAATAAATAACTTGCCTCAGTGTTTAATAAGGTCAAGGAATAATTATCACATTTTATGGAATACATTTACAAAGAGTCACATTGAGAATGACAATATGAAAGCTGCTGCAGACAATATGTATACACGCTGCTAGGGTAATGCAGGTGTACATTCGACTTACTAGCTAAACGCCGGCAAAGCTATTGATTGCCTTACATCCACTATATTTGCCCTGGCAGACTTGGCAGAGTTTGTTTTCCTGGGACTCTTCCTGATAGAGATGACCTTGAAGATGTACGGATTAGGACCCCGAAACTACTTTCACTCCTCTTTCAATTGCTTTGACTTTGGGGTGAGTTTCTTTGGAAACAGCCCTTCTGACCTTCTGCGTTATTCCACATTTGGATTTATAACATTTATTACAGTTATTTTATTACTATCTGATATTAAAATGATAATACAAGGTGTTAGATCTGAGATGAAAATGAGATGCCTTTTATTAAAAGGATCCCGGATCTTCCCTGTTCAGGTCATTGTGGGCAGTATTTTTGAGGTGGTGTGGGCAGCCATCAAACCCGGGGCCTCCTTCGGGATCAGTGTGCTACGGGCTCTCCGCTTGCTTAGGATATTTAAAGTTACAAAGTAAGTATTTGTCTGCAGCATGAAAGCCCTCTTCAGATAATGTCTCACTTATAGACAAGGCCAAAAGTATTGGTCCTGTTCCACTTACAGTATTTAGTCAAGTATCTGCTCTATGGGAAATTGAATAAAGGAGAGTGGATGCCAATTACTTTTGTCAGTTTCAACTTATTTCATGGATTATTGTGATTATTTTTTAGAAAGTGGAATGGTACCAATATTTTTGGCCACATTCATAGTTACTGCAGTGTGGGGTGGCCACTGATTTTCAGGAATCGTATGACTAGAGCCTGGATAGCTCAGTCGGTAGAGCATCAGACTTTTAATCTGAGGGTCCAGGCTTCAAGTCCCTGTTCAGGCAAAGCTTTTTTTGTGGGCAGTGGTGGCTTAATGGTTAGGGATGTGCACTTGTAGTTGAAAGATTGCTGGTTGAAATCTCTAACCAACAAGGTACTGCTCCCTGCATGCTGAATTAGCTGCCCCTTGCTACAGTATGCCACATTGTCACATATGGGTTAAATGCAGAGAACACATTTCATTGTTGTGTGCTGTGGTGTGTCAACAATGACAATTAATCTCTAAATTCTAACTGACTATGAAGAAGTAGCATTGTTCCATATAAATAAAGCCTTACTGAAGAATATGTAAAATGTGACTTTGATCTTGACAGCAAGACAAGCCTTGCAGGGATTTATCTATATAAGTGGTTGAAGTTAGTACTGTTGGGGATGAATGAGCAGCAATTTGAAGCTGCATCATACTAAAAAGCACTTTAGGAGACAACCTGTTTCGTTTGCATAATTCTAACTCCTGCCGTGATCAGTCTTCCGGCAAAAGCTCTCCTTTCTTTCCTCTGACACCATTTGTGTCACCTCTGTAGGTACTGGAACTCCCTGAGGAACCTAGTGGTCTCTCTGCTCAACTCCATGAAGTCCATCATCAGCCTGCTCTTCCTGCTCTTTCTCTTCATCGTGGTCTTCGCACTGCTGGGAATGCAGCTCTTTGGAGGACAGTGAGTATTCTTTCAGGTCGCCCAACGTTCCTTTATCATTTGAAACTTTACGCCATTGACAGTCTGCTTATGAAGAGCCGTCACGAATGTTTCAGTCGAAGCAGATGGTGAAAGTGCTGCATTATTTACATTCCAATTCTGTCTTTCGTACCTCTGGTCATGCCCTAAACCTTGGCAGTTATCCAGCTTTGGAGGTTGTGTCTGTATCAAGCTCAGGCCAGCAGCTTAATTCGACAAAGGCTACTGTTCTGTTTGAGCCAAATCCACTCCATCATGTAAATTACATGCTTTATGCCAGCAAAAATTATTTTACTCTCTCCTTTTTTCTTACATAATTGCATTACTATAGCGTGGTACTTAATATCTACAGTAGATTCCATTTGAGGTGATTATTTGCAAACAGTTTACGGAAGACTAACGTTTCTTGCAGGACAACTTCTGAATGTGATGTCACAAAAGTAATAATTTAATCGTAAATGTAAATGATTTGTTTATGGTTTCTGGTCCTTATTTGTCTCATGACCTGTTTTATTGACTAACTTTGGTGAGTTTTTTAATTCAAACTTATAGAGATATTCAATGACTCTTTTGAAGAATTTGAATTTGTTCCTTGTATGTGAACACAGAAAGCACAATGTCAAGATTAGCAATTTTAAATTTCGGAGCTCGAGTGCCTTCAAGTTGTTTATCTACTTACAGTACAGACACCAGATCCTGATGTTTAGACCCTGCTGGTTTTAACTGAGCAGATGTGTGTCTGCTTTTGTAGTTCAGAAGCTCTGTTTCACTATGAGTTTTAGGGTTAATTACCTTTAAGTGACATTTGGTAAAATTGTGAAATCATTCCCAAATAGTTCATCGTGTTTGCCAGACATTTTTTAAAATGACTGATTTATTTTCTTTGCAAGTATATTGCAGTCACTCTTTTGTTTTGTGACTAGAGATGTGGAAATAGTCGTCTTTTGTGATGGCCCTCTACTATGGAGAGGGTATTTCTAAAAATGTGAAAACATGACAGTTTGTATAATTATTAAGCGCCTGGCATGAATTTAAAAAAAAATCATATATCATATATAGGCCAGCTATATAGCATGTGTGTCCTTCCTGGATGCACTGTTTTTGGGGCTTGTTCTTGTAAATCCTTCTGTCGAATTGTACTGCAATCTGTTTCAGCATGATTGCACCCTTTAATTGCTTTTTGTTCAGTATAATTAGTCTTGATATTTATGTCCAGTAGCATTATACAGAACCTTCTGTAGAGCATGGGGAAAGTTTATAAAGCAGGCAGAATAACTCAGGCAACCATTTGTTCATGTTCTAGGGCAGTCTGTTACTTCTGATTAGAGGCGGTCTGTTCATCAAATGGGTTGAACTGGTTAGAATGGGGGCGACAGAGGGGTGCAGTGTTTAGCATTGTTGCCTCACACCTCTGGGATTAGGGTTCGAGTCGTTGCCATGGCATTTGCATGTTCTCCCCAAGTCATTGTGGGGTTTCCTCCAGGTACTCCACCCCCCCCCAGCCCCACTCTGAAGTTAATTGGAGTTACCAAATTGCCTGTAAGTCTCCCTGTGTGACTGTACCCAGTGATGGGTTGTTGGCCCATCCTGGGTTGTTACTTGTCTTGTGCCAGTAGCCTCCAGTTTAGGCCCAGGACTCCCACAACCCTGAATAAGATATGTGGTTTTACAAGATGGATGGATGGACGATTATGATGGTTGTTTAGCACCTTGTTATTCTCTAACTGGAGAGTATTTGGCATGTTTAAGTAGCATTTCAGCAGAACTGTCCTGGATGTTAGGAGTGACCTGCCGTGAGCCCTTCTTCACTCTGTGGTTATGTTATCGACACTCACTACATTAGTAATCAGACACAGTGAAAACCTCTCTCTCTCTTCCTCCTGCAAGGTTTAATTTTGAAGATGAGACACCTACAACAAACTTTGACACCTTCCCTGCTGCCATTCTTACAGTTTTCCAGGTAAGAATGACTCAATCAAACTCATCCAAAGTAAATTTCAAGCTTCTTATGAAAGCCAGAATGAAACTGTGCTATATACTAAACTCTGTGTTTGGTTTTTAATGTCCAGATTCTGACAGGAGAGGACTGGAATGCTGTCATGTATCATGGGATTGAATCTCAAGGAGGAGTTCGTCGTGGCATGTTTTCCTCCATCTACTTCATTGTTCTAACACTCTTTGGCAACTGTATCCTCTTCTTTGCATAAATCTGTGAAGGCCAGATGTTTGGTATTCATTTCCACTACATTAAGATAAGACAAAAGTTTTATACAGTTGAGTAGTTTTGACACAACAGCACAGATGTTCACCGTATTGTCTTTGGGAAGTTGTGAAGCTTTTCTGAACCCAGTCTTGATCAGACACTCTGCTCAATGTCTTCTTGGCCATTGCTGTTGACAACCTGGCAAATGCACAAGAACTCACAAAGGTATGATTCGATCAGCCAAAGCTCAGGTCATCGCGTTGCTCATGGGTATCATAAATCACTTACCTAACCCAACCAACCGGAAAACCCTTTCAGCCACTCAATCCTCCTTTCAGTTCTGCATGCGTCCCGGTGAACATTTTTAAATATTTGCATTTGAAAAGACTGGATCGCATCTGTGGGGTCTATCAGGAATCTGCTGGATCCTTCTTGCCTGGGCAGACCAGTGATGAGATGAGTTTCTCTGCAATCAAGTTAATGAGCTTCTTAGCTGGTTGGAAGTTCCAACACACTTAATGATGTACCTTAGCAGCATTTACCGTTATTGTCTTACTCTCTTGTCTAGGATGAAGAAGAGCAGGAGGAAGCCATCAATAAAAAGATAGCTCTCCAAAAGGCCAAGGAGGTAAAGGAGGTCAGCCCCCTGTCAGCAGCTAGCATTTCTATTGCAGCGTAAGTTCTGAAGCGTTTGGCCCCTTAACCTCCCTCTCCCCTCCCTGAGTTCTCCTTGCCCCTTCCCCTGTCCACCAAAAATAGCTCCACCAGACTCTTTTGTCCCTTGGTCCCTCAATGAGATGAGGATGCTGCTTGTATTCATGGTTTTATATGTGTTTGTTTCTGGCATCACTTTCTGATCCAGGTGTTTCGTTTTATCCCTTCCGTCGCCTGCGTGTGTCCTGGCGCTTTTGTCTTCCATGGTCCCTGTAACTGTTATCCATTTGTTGGTCCTGCACCTCAGATATACTCTGAGATATTTACCAACACCTGCCTGTCCCAGCTGTTTCAAATCGAAGCAGTGTTTTTTTTGCAGGTCAGTGGAATGTGTGGTCAGTTTGCAGGTTGGTGGAGTGTGTGGTCAATCCCCTCAGAGTGTTTACAGGGAAAGAGGGAATCAATCTTGCTTTTCCTACTTTTATTAGCATGTTTTTGGGATTGTCACAGTTTCGATAGCAACACAACTACTGTATACAACTACAGAGTGGAAGGAACAAGGAGTAATGAACAAATTATTTTAAACCTTTGAGCCATACATTGCATCGGTACATGTTTGATGAAATTCAATGTGCCTGATCTTATGATTTCTATATTAATCAGGAAGTATAATCTTCACATACATGTCGACGGCTTATTTCACCTAGGTTAGAATTTTTTAATTCCTTTATCAATTTAATAAGAATGAGATATAAGTGTTTAACAGTTAGCTGATAGGTTTAGAGTTTTATGCCATCTTAGTTACTAGAATGTCCCACAGTGTAAGTAAACATGTCATAGTAAATTAGCCTTTTCATTTAATGTTCAAGCCTTGTTGTTGAACTTGTGTGTGTTGGAGCAGTGATGTAGGGGGTCGTCTCCAGTTCCTGGCCAATTTCTGTGCTCTGTTGCCATGTTCGTTTTTGATGCAGAGCTACTGGATATAGTCTAGTGCTCAGGTGTCTTTTGCGGAGAGTCTAGTCTCAGACTGTCACTGAAAATGACAGATTGACAGCTTTTGACTTGCAAGACATCAGGTAAGTAATGCAGTAGTTGCTATTGAGGGGGTATACACTGACCAGCCATAACATTAAAACCACTGACAGGTGAAGTGAATAACATTGATTATCCTGTTACAATGGCACTAGTGAAGGGTGCCATTATATACCAGACAAGTGAACAGTCAGTTCTTGAAGTTTATTGTTGGAAGTAAGTGTAAGGATCTGGGGCAACGTTGACAAGGGCCAAATTAGCGCATCGCCAAAACGGCAGGTCCTGTGGGGTGTAACTGGGATGTAGTGGTCAGTACCTACCAAACGTGGTCTAAGGAAGGCCAATCCACCCAAAGCTCATTGATGCACATGGGTAGCAAAGGCAAACCCGTGTTGTCTGATTAAACAGGGGAGCTACTGTAGCAAAAATTGCTGACAAAGTTAATGGTGGCTGTGAAAAAAAACACGCAGTGCATTGCAGCTTGATGCGTATGGGGCTGTGTAACCACAGACATTTCCACCACCGAAAGCACCTACAATGAGCATGTAAGTGTCAGAACTGGACCATGGAGCAATGGAAGAAGGCAGCCTGGCCTGATGAGTCACATTTTCTGTTACATCAAGTGGATGGCAACATACATCTGTGTCATTTACCTGGGGAAGAGATGGTACCAGGATGCACTATGGGAAGCAGCCAAGCTGGTGGAGACAGTGTGATGCTCTGGGCAATGTTCTGCGGGGAATCCTTAGGTCCCGGCATTCATATAGAGGTTACTTTGACATGTACCTCCTACCTAAACATTGTTGTAGACCAAGTACACCCCTTCATGGCAATGGTATTTCCCAATGGCATTGGCCTCTTTCAGCAGGATAATGAACCATGCAGAAATTGTCTAGGAATGGTTTGAGGAACATGAGATTAAGGTGTTGACTTGACCTCCAAATTCCCCAGATCTCAGTCAGATTGAGCATCTGTAGCATGTGCTGGACAAACAAGCCTGATCCATGGAGGCTCCACCTCACAGCTTACAGGACTTAAAGGATCTGCTGCTAATGTCTTTATGCCAAATAGCACAGGACACCTTCTGAGGTCTTGTGGAGTCCATACCTCAACAAGTCAGGGCTGATTTGACGGAACCTACACAATGTTAGGCAGGTTATTTTAATGTTATGGCTGATCGACGTGTGATGTCAAAAATGTGAGATGTATTTCATGGGTGATGGTACTGGTATTTTATACAATGAATTGTTAATATTTGGAAAGCATTGTAAAAAGCTCCGGTTGATGACTTTTTAAACCTTTTTGTGCTGATGACATTATAAAGAAGGACATCTTTCCTGGTATAATGTTTGCTTAAAAACTCAATTTCATTCAAGTACAGTTCTTATAGTTTGTGATGCCTCTATAGTTAATGAAGATGGATTTTTTTTAATTTTCACTAAAGGATCTGAAATACTAAATGTTATATTTCCAGACTACAAAGCTGTGTTTGTTTATTTCAAGGTACTGCCCCAACTCACGACCTGTCACACATCTTTGTTGGTTTTTGTTTAAAACACTTCTTTCCGGTTGACTTTGTGATGGCTGTCCTGTCTGGCGTAATGTAGTGATGCATTTTGTTTTGTGAGTGTTTAGAGTTTGAAGTCTTGACCCTAAGAGGGGCCTCTAAGGCCGTCTCATGACAGCAGAGCCAGACGGGCGGCATTCTGCACATGCCCGCGCAAACGTCTCCTTCTCTCCCATCTTTTGTTTCTGCATGTGCAGTTTTGTAAAGCAAACTCGAGGTGCAGCCCCTCACAGCTCACCCGTCTCCAGCATCCCCTCACCGTGAGTCCTTGCTCCCGTTACGATACTCTTCTCTGCTGAGCCTTCCATGTCCTGACGCTCGCTTCTCCGGCTCTGGCATTCTCCGTGTCTTCGTCACCCTTCCTGTCAGCTGGGCTGTAATGTCCACTCCACGGTCTACGGGTGAACATGGCCTTCAGCCTTCCATACACGGCCACGCCGATACACACATGCCATCTTTGTCCCTTATGTCCCAGCTGTGTTTGTGCCAGGTCTGCTGGATGTGTCTCCTTCATCACGCACATGTTGTTGGCCTGCCCAGTATGCTCTTCCTCATTTACCCCCTCCCCCCACCACCCCACAATTCCTCACATTTATCTCAGAATCTCTATGCCAGCTGCCTGCTCCTTTCCTCAGGCACTGTATCATAAATCCAACAATCTGCCAATACGCTTGGCTCCTTTTGCTCTAAGGTTCACTGTGCCAGACTCTGGCCTGGGTGCCTCTGCCCGCCTCTGAGTGCCAGTGGCACCAACGTCGCTCGCTGTTTAGTGACTCAGCATTTTCCTCTGCAGTTTCTGATGCTGACCGACCTGCAAAGTATTATAGATGCCGATTAGTCTTTGGAGCTTAGAAAGTTAATTGGTGTTAGTGACCCAAAATGATCCCAGGAGTACGCCTACTTCATTGAAACGCTTCGTTGTAAGCATTCCAAGTTTTACAGCTAGAAGAGACATTTTCGTGTCAATTGATTCCCCTTACAGATTATACAGGTGAAACAATCAAATAGATGAACCCAGTGTGACATATCGGGACATTGTGGTTGGCACCGTGTAGCGTAGTATAACCAAACTCCAACCTGCACTGTGGGGACAGTTTTAGGCATAACCCTGACTTGTCGAATTTGCACATTTTCTTCAGGTGTCATATACAGTATCAATAGTATTGCAATTTCAGGTGCACAGGAAAATAAAACTAGTTTTTGTCTCCAGTTTTCCCAACTGATTTGGCTACTGTCTGTTTGATTTAGCTGCTGCGGAATCAGTAAAAAGCGATTCGATGAAGGGGATGGAATTGCAGGGCTTCTAAGGGAGATAAATGGGGCAGAACGTAGCTGGATTTTCAAACGCGAGTCAGGGGATGAACATAAAAAGCCACACAGCAGGACAGGTTCACAGCATCTGCGCTGCTGGCTTCCCTCTCATGAGCTCTGTGTGCTTGTGGAGCATCTCGTCATGTGGAACATGAGGAACATTGTATGTGCGACTCGCACTGAAACCACATCCATTCAGCCGTGTTCTTCAGATGTTCGGTCTGCTCCATTCCTTTCATTCTTTCCTGTTCAATTTTCTACCCACAAAAATGTGTCATAGACAGCAAGCTTAACTCTGTGCTGGTACATCTGAGTAATTGTCCTCCAGTACTACCATATGCTTGGCATATTTTCAAAACCATAAATATTGGGCTGGAGTATAATCTTGGCACATCAGTGTTTGGCTATAGGGATGTGCAGTGTGTGGCAGGAATACACATCTTATGACCCGCAAAGCCCCACCCCTTTACTCTCTGTAAGACTTCCACCCCCTGCACTCATTAAATCCATGCATTCACTCCCGCCCTTTCGCAACATATGAAACAGTCCAAAGGCAGTACTATGCAATAGTGTTAGGTAGTCAATGAAAATGTTTAAAGCTATTTATCTGCGTATTAAGGTGTCTGGTATCAAAACAGCTAAGCTAACACACTTTATCACATAATGTCATAGTTTTACATCAACTTGAAGATCATTTAGACATAATGCTCTTTGACTGCCTAAGACTTTTGCACATTACTACATATTTTACATGTTAATGGGTTAGCCTTAGATTGCCAAACATATTTAAAAGGCCTGTAGTTACCTCTCACAGAGCACATGGCACAGAATCTAAGGCTGCTGTCTGACCTGTGACCTGCGCTTGGGCCTGGTAGAGGTGACAGGTGTGGCCTTGCTGCCTTTCTGTCCCCCCTCTGTGGTCTTTTGATTGAGGCCTCTACTGCAGTGTCTCCCAATCCGGTCCTCAGGGACCTACATTCGGTCCATGTTTTTGCTCCCTCCCAGCTCCCGGTAGGGAGCAAAAATGTGGACTGTCTGTGGGTTCCCGAGGGAAACACTGCTCTACTGTAAATCCAGTTACAGACAGATTCTCTTAGGTTGGAGTACTGATGATTGCCAGCTGTGCAATACCAACATCTGGGTATGTTTCCGTGGTCCGACCTGCCTTTTACTCTCCATCCCGGTGGATTTATTTCCATATAATTGTGTGTTTTTGTGTCGTGTACCTCACCCCCTCTATCTCTGTCTGTTGTTGTCTGCCATCATACTGTTTGGCTATATGCCTTATCTGACTGTTGTGTTGTTTAGCAGCTCCTACCTGTTTCTTTATGTTTGTCTTTACCACATTTTGTTATCCTGTATGTATTTTAGGAGTTTTGTCTGCTCCCCTGCCCGCCACATCTTGAGGTACAGGTACAGTTTAGGATTTCATGGTGGTCACAGTATGGTCATTACATTACATCGTGCGTGCATTGTTTTAGATATGTGCTTATACATTTTTTGATGACGTCTCCTAACTACCCTTAATTTCTTGGGGCAGAATGAACCAGAAATTGCCTTTCCTATCTGATTTGTGTCCTTCATTTCCACTAAAGTGGTACAGTATCCTCCAGGACTTTAGCCTCTTTTGGTTCCACCTTGGATTAATGAGAGCCACTGTAGTTTATGAGTTTGTCCTGTGCTTTGATGTTTGTGTAGAACTGTAGATCAGCAAGGCAATGACAGAGATCCAGGACTGAAAGTGGCATCCATAAATGCTCATCCAGGAGCCTGAAGGCTTTTGATTTCCATGGTATATTTAATTGACAGAAAGAATCGCATTTATAGCACGGGGGCCGAGTGACAGCTTTTAGGAATGATAGATTTTTGGTAACGTTAAGAAATTTGTCGAAAAGGAAAACATAATGGGCCCTCGTCTGACTGTTGGGGTCAGTGTTTCAATAATCAAACGTGCCCTTGTACGTCAAGTAGCAAGAAGCACACCACTGAGCCAAGTATACCGACCCACTGTCTCAGACTAACCCCCATGCATCTGTCCCCCCACCCCCCCCATTGCTTATCAAAGGTGTTCATTCACAAAATGCATTTTGAGGAGCGTTGGTAAGGTAGTGAAGAAATTTATAACAAAAGTGATGCTGACAGAAGAAGCATTCTAAGACTTCCTACTAGCCAATTAAGTAGATGTCAATAGATGTTATTAATTGTATTCCGTGTTAAATAGTCAGATTCTTCTGATAAAAATTATCTAAAAAAATAATCTGTTACACAAGAAATCAATACTAATGCAACTAATGCTTAGTTCTGCAGTCCTGTTCTAAGTATGAAGTAAATTAAAATTTTATGCCAATGCAAAAGTCACCTTAATATAGTTACTATCAGAGAACCATAGAAATGGCTGTTAAAATTCAGTCCCATAACCCAGTCTTATTGGCACACCGTCCTGTCCATAAATATGTACTTTGTCAGTAAAAAATCAATTTAATTAATTTTTATATAGCGCCTTTAACAAAATAGTTGCCCCGAGGCATTTAAAAACAGTGTTAAATAGTGCAGAGGTTTGTACCTAGTGAAAAATGCTAATGATTTTACTGTTTGTAAACCAGGGCTATTCAACTCAGGCCCTCGATTCCAAATCCAGCCCTTACTTTCAGTTCTCCCAGGTAGTTAGTTTAATAATTACTGATTCTGATTGGTCAGAGGCTTCACACCTGGTTCACAGGTGAAGGAAGGCTGGAAAATCAGCAGGGCTCGGCCCTTGAGGACCGTGATTTGAATAACCCTGTTGTAAACCATACCTGATATAAAGTCCCAAAATACCTTGACGTACATGAAGTTTGGAAAACTAGCCTGTCTTCCCGAAAGGGATGCACTATTTTGAATCCAGAAATATAGGTAGTAGGGAAACCCTGGCTCCTGAGAGTGCCGTTAACAGCCCTTATAAAAGTTGAGTCTGTTGAAGAACCATGGTTCATGCGTATGAGGTTATGAGCTTAGCTGTGGTCTAGCATGACGAAGAAGGGAACCACGTAAATGTGGCTCTTATCAGAAAGCATGGATTACATGTGGTGAGTTACTATCTTCAGGCAGTACTGAGCATGATGCAAGAAGAGCAGGGTGCAGATTCACCATGGTAAACTTTTTATGGGCCATCCATGAAGACCATCTTTTCTCGTTGCTGACATGTACGAGTACTGGGGCTCAGTAGGGGGTAAGGAGTTGACCCCAACCCCAACCCCAACCCCAACCCTCGACCCAAGCATTGCTGGCAGAATTTTTATTCATGTTTCATTCAAAATCAAAGTTACTTTGACACTGAATTTAAAAAATTTGCTAAATATAAGAAAAATGTTTGATAAATATCTGTCATTTAGTTTTTTTCCAGACTAATCAATGAATTATGAACTATTAAATGATTTAAGATGAAAGAATAATTACATTGAAAATGGTTGGGCAAAGTTTGTCTTATTATCCCAATGATGTTTGAAAATCTAGCCGCTCTTGGTAAAAGCTGGTCTTGCATGGATGTAGGTGTGGTGTTTCATAACAGTCCATCCACCCGAATGAGTCGAGGCTGTGCTGACGGGCTGCCGCTCCCTCCGCTGACCGGGCCTCTCCTTCCCTCCGCCCGTCATCCTCCAGCAAGGAGCAGCATAAGTCTCTGAAGACGATGTCAGTGTGGGAGCAGCGGGCATCGCAGCTGCGCAGACACAACCTGCGCGCCAGCAGCGAGGCCCTGTACAACGAGCTAGACCCTGAGGAGCAGCTGCGCATTTCCTCCGCCCTGCACATCCGGCCGGACATGAAGACACATCTGGACCGGCCTCTCGTGGTGGAGCCACATGGCGGTGCCGTGGAGCAGCAGGGAAGTGGGGAAAAGGGCGAGGGAGGCACTGCCGAAGATGGGCCAACGCCCAGCGAGGCCCCGGTCCACCCGCGGAGACACTACCGGCACCGTGAGAGGCCGGCGGACGAGGCCAATGAGAACGGGGAGCCGGGCAACGGCCGAGAAGGTCGACACCATGTCCACCACAGCCGCAGCAAAGACCACGACGGCTGCCGAGGCAAAGATGGTAAGGGAGAGAGGAGCCGCAGCCGGGAGGGGGGCAGGAGGCACCACCACCAGGCTTTGGCGGATGAGGCGGGGGGCACGGGGGAGAAGGAGCAGCGGCGCCGCCATGGCCGCCACCACCACAAGGAGGGCAACGGCACCGTCAACAACGGGGAGAAGAGCGAACGCAGGGCTCGACACAAGGAGGGCTCGCGCTCCGCAAACCGTGAGGGGGAGAGAGGGGCTGGGGGCAACCGTGGCGAGAACGGGGGCAACGGGGAGCGCAGACGGCATAAGCCCCGTCCACCGAAGAGTCCATCTGCCCTGGAGGGGGATGTGCACAAGGAGAGAGAAGATAACAGGGTCCCTGGGCTCCGGTAAGACGGGCATGTGGCGGAATGAAACACTTCTACGCACTTAGTGTCAAAAGTGTATGGGCTCTAATAAAATGTTCTGTTTGACAGGGAAAAACAGACAGACATGGAAGGAGACTGGCTGGCCATCACACCCCAGCCATCCCAGCCGCCCGCTGCTGGTCAGAGGTGGGCAGGAGAAAAGGGGGAGGATTCGGACAACCAGAGGAACATCAAGAGGACAGGGCAGATGGGCGTGGGCCCGAACGCGGTCCACATCCCCGTCACCGTCACCTCCCCACCAGGAGAGACCCTTGCCATATCCAGTTAGTAATAACCAAGAAATTGTGGGGATAGGGTGCTTTGATGTTTCAGCTCTCCGGGTATAAATTTGCACCGTAGAAGTATATTTTATCATATTGTGATATATGCTTGAATGAACATACTAAATTTTAGAACTGAGTAGAATAATAATGGACTTTTGCATGCTGTTATCTCAAAGAAATATTAGCATATTGTTTGGGTGACCCCTTTATGGATGGTGTCCATGTGTTTACAAGATGGACAGAAGTCCCAGAAAAGGTCATATTTATTAAAAGTGAATCATTGTTTGTGCAGTTGATCTTTTTAATGACCAGTGTCTTATGCTCACAAAAGGATTATTATTGTAAATATGATTTCATATATTGCCATTAATACTTAAACATAAATTCCAACACTATAGTCAAAAGGTAAATGAGGTTGAAAGTTGCAGCCCTCAGGCTTGCCGACAGTGAGGCATGACTGATGTGTCTGTTCCTCTCTGCTGCAGTGAACAACTCTGACTGTGAGACCATGCCAATGAACGAAGAGAAGAAGAACCTGGAGGATCTGACAAAGAACGGGCCTAAGCCCATCCTGCCCTACAGTTCCATGTTTGTGTTCGGACAGTCCAACCCGTGAGTGTTTGCATGGTGCAGTGTTTGAGGGAATACTAGAGGAATAACCCTGAAGGGATCCTACCGGAGTTATATGGCATTGCAAATGTGCAATATTTACATTTTTACATATTAGGAGACACTTTGTCCAAAGTGATGTACAAGCAAGGCAAAGAGCACATTGCAAACATTCAATCTGTCAAGGAGTCAACTAGGCATAAGTGCAGCTATGCTAAGGTTCCAGTGAACGCCCAGGTAAGTGTAAGCAGGAGCTACACAACAGCCTCTAACAAAGCAAGGACCTAGCAAGACTATTCAAGAACCAGAATTCCGACATAAGAATATCCCGAGAAGGTACTGTAAAGGCATTATCATTAGTATAGAAACTTATGGAACAGATGGATGTTGAGGTGTTTCTTGAAGATGGAGAGGGAGTCTGATTCCAAGATGCGGTTCAGTAGCTCATTCCACCATCAAGGAAACAAACCAAACCATCTGGAGTGACACTTCTCTTTGGTTTGCATTGGTTTGTTGACCGAGGGGGTGAGATGGGATGTAGGTCTTCAGAGGTCTTTTGATGAAGATGGGCGCCTGTCCATCGATGGTCCTATAAGTCAGCACCACAGACTTCATCTTGATATGAGCGCCAATATGGAGCCAGTGAAGAGAGACAAGGAGGGGTGTGACGTGAGAACATTTAGGCTGAATGAATATCAGATAAGCTGCTGTGTTTTGAATCATCTGCAGTGGTCTGATAGCTCAGATTGGTTGACTTGGAATAGCCTGTTTATATTTAGGGGTTGGACGATGTAACTGAAACACTTGGTTTTTGACCCCAATACTTTATTAGTATGTCTCCTTTTGCAGCCAATACAACATCAGTTTGTCTTGCGAATGACAGATACACGTCCTGGACAGTAGCTAGAGGGATTCCTAGCAGAAACCTTTCTCCTTGCCGAACAGTGACCAGGTCACTATGTGGTGCTGATGTAGGAAAACTCGCTCCTCCAAAACACCCCAAAGTGGCTTAATGATATTCAGACCTGCTGACTTTGCAGGCCATTGGAGATTCAATTTCACTTTCATGTTCATCACACTAATCTGTCACCAGTCTTGCTGTGTGTTGGTACATTATCATCATGATGCACAGCACCACCTTCAAGGTACAATGTTTGAACCACTGGGTGAACATGACTCTTAAGAAAGATTCAGTGGTCCTTGGCAGTGATGCACCCATCTAGAACAAGTAGTGGGCCTAGGGAATGCCATGCTATTGCAGCCCAGACCATCACTGATCTACCACAGTGCTGCACTCTGGGTTTGCAGCATTCTGGGTGATGAGCCTCGTTGGGGCTTCTGCACACCGTAACTCTCCCAGATGTGGGAAAGACAGTGAAGGTGGACTCATCAGAGAACAATACATGTTTCACATTGTCCACAGCCTAAGATTTGCGCTGCTGGCAACATTGAAACTGACGTTTACCATTGGCACAAGTGACCAAAGGTTTGGTATAGTAGCCATGAATATTCATCCTGTGAAGCTCCCAAAGAACAGTTTTGGTGGAAACAGGAGAGTCAAGACACACTTTTAATTCTGCAGTGAGTTGGCCAGCTGTGGTTCTATGATTTTTGGATACAATCCAGGTACCTGGACATCCATCTCAGACGGCTTCCTCTCGTATCCATATTTACTCCTATTGGATGTGGACCGTCCGTATTAGTATTCTGACATTGCCCTGGATACCGTGGCTCTCGATTCCTCGCAAAGACTTTCTGTCCTGGTCACAGACACGCCAACAATTTGTCCACTTTTGAACTCCGGTATGACTCCATTATGTTGTGTGGATTGCAGTGTTTTATGTACAGCTGTGCTATTGCTTTGCTAATTCAGCCTTCACGCTCTTACTCATGTAATATACAATCACTGAAAACTCGCCACCACGCATATATAGGCGTGAAGCCTCAAACACTATTTTGGGCAGTGTTTCACGGCGCCACAGTGGTTAGCACTATTGCCTCACAACACATGTGGCTGCTTTTGGGTGTTGGTCTGTATGGTTTTGTTTGGCCAGCGACTCATTTGTCCTGGGGAAATAAGCAGACGCCATTTGTCTCAACACACAGGGTGCGCCGTCTCTGCCACTACATCGTGAGCCTGCGCTACTTTGAGATGTGCATCCTTGTGGTGATCGCAATGAGCAGCATCGCCCTGGCAGCGGAGGACCCCGTTCACGCCAACGCGCCGCGCAACAATGTGAGTCCTGCACTGCTTTGGTCCTGCAGTCATTTACTAGGTCAGATAGGAAGGAATATAGTTTCAAACTGCGGCCCGACAGCAAGCGCAAGGCTGCAAACTGCAATATGTCATGACTCACGACACGAAACTGAACACACCGGCAGATAATCCTGCTTGTTATGATGGGAGAGGGGACCGAATCAACCTGAGTTTTCTTATGTGATGGCCACACCTTCAAGTCGTAGCAGTTAAAGAAAATGAAAACTATATCTGTCTGTAAAAGTGTGTTAATGTACAGTTAGTGTCATATCAAAACTTCTCCTGAAATCATCCCGCTATTTACAGCAGCCACCCAATATAGCTGTGTATTTTCTTACCATGACCCCTAGCACACTATGTGTGGCTAGTCAACGCCCCACGGGCTTTGTAAACTAGTTTAATCAATTAATTAAGTTGAGCTGGTGGTGAAACTTAACAGATACACGGAACGGCTGAGGCGCCCATGAGGAGAGGTTTGGGAACTGAAGCCGTGTTCATCTAGCCGTCCAACTAGATATCAGTAACGTTTTGGAGAAGTGAGGATATTCTTTTTAGTTTCTATTGTGTTACTCTAAATTTGCATACATTGTAATGATAAATTGTCATTCTTGTCCCGAGCAAATGTGCACTTGCTACCCAGATAAAGAGCTTTAAATATTTCCTTTGACTGTCTAAGACTTTTGCACAGTACTGTACATGCATTTTTTCCCCTTCCTTAGGTGCTGAAGTATTTAGATTACGTCTTCACAGGTGTGTTTACGTTTGAGATGGTGATCAAGGTAAGACTAAGCTGAGTCATGATCTGAGCCTTTACATGCCTAAAAATATGGTAAACTTAGATCACGTTCCAACATCCTAAAATATATAAACAACCAGCCACAAGGAATGTACTTTGTTGACATCTTTAACATATATATAAAATGTAGCTAATTTAAATGTAGTCTGGTGAATTGCTCACATAGAAATATGCTATACTTCAGTTTTAGTTCTTGAATTAAACATGCGGATTAATTCCCAGAGAGTCTGTGGGTTAATTAACATTCACTCTAGTATAGCTTCATAAGTCTTACATGACTCAGTCCAGAACCCGAAAAGTGTACTTGATCTGTAGGTGTCTACTTGGGATGCTTCTCCATATGCGTACTTGACTGTACTTGTGTTCTCATGTACCGGTTTCACATCAGTTGCAATACTAAGAACAGAAACACGGAGGACGGTGAAAATCCCCGGATGTCATTCTTACCCCACCCCAAATATTAAGGATACGTCGGTTGCATCCTCACCAAATGAGACCAATCCCATGATTCATTGCATCCCAAGTTTGTTTTTGGGAGGCAAGTTAGCCAGACCACTCTTGCTAAGACCACAAGTACAATCTTTGCGTTCTTGATATTGAGAAGCACTCTTGGTCTCAGTTTGCTGCCCCCCCTCCCCCGCTGAGCCCCCACCGCTGACTCTCCTCTCTCCCAGATGGTTGACTTGGGCTTACTGCTTCATCCGGGCTCCTACTTCCGGGACCTGTGGAACATCCTCGATTTCATTGTGGTTAGCGGAGCTCTTGTGGCATTCGCATTTTCGTAAGTACTGTGGAAGCCTTTTCTTTTTCTTGTGTGGGTGTTTCTTCAAAGTGTTCAGCTTTTCAGAGTAATCAATGCTGCATTTGTGTTAATTATCTCAGTGGGTCTGTAAATGCATTTTCCCCCCGAAGTATAGCTTAATTTTTGACGATGTACTTTATAACCTTGAAAATTCTCTAGTGACAGCTATAGTCTGGCTTTTTGAACCGGTCTTGTAAAACTAATAGTCACATTGAAATGTAAGAGAACTCCTTCATAGTAAAATATCCTTTTATGTCACTGGTGTTGTTGAAACTACATAAATCCATGTAGGAATGTTATTTTTGTGTCATCACTGAGACACAGTAGAAATGATTGAGTTATATAGTGGAACAGAAATGCCGGACTTCCAGGGTTTCTTAAATTCTCCGTTCATAAAATTGCTGTTTAAATGACGGATGTTGAAACTATTTCACTAAATGAGTAAACGGCTCCCCATGTTTCCGTGCCTTCCTGGAAAAGTGCAGTCCATCTGAGCAAAAGTATTCAATGCAGCTGTTTATTCCCCTGACCGGAGAACTGAAACACATGCTATGTGCTTAATTAAGTAAAATCACAATCACAAATTCACAACCCCTCGCCTCTCTGTAACGATGAAAAGGAGGAATCTGTGACGTGTCTCCCACAGGAAACTCTTTGCATTTATTCCTCATGAACTGTCCTGCAATTACTTCTTTCCACAGGGACCATTAAAATTTGCCTGTCGGGAAAAACTTTAGGAGGACATATTTAATATTCTGTTTGTTGCTTTGTCCTGTAAATGTGTCACAAAGGCCTGCCTGTCATTGTGTCGTACGGCCATCTGTGCAGCTTTTGATGGCCGTCCTCCGATACCGTGATGCACGACGCGTGTTTGCAAGAGTGTGTGTGTGCCTCTGTGTACGTTTTACTGACTGTAGGTCTTCCTCTGTTTCCTGGTGGCTGGGATCGCTTACAGGAGCTTCATGGGGTAATTCCTTTGAACTGTCTGTGCTTTTACCTGTCTCTGTGTCATCAGTGGGAGGCGGGGGGGGGGGCTGCAGTCATCCCATACGCCTCAGAACAGCATGCAGTCTCAGTCTCATTTCTCCAGGCCAACTCGTACATTCATCCTACTTTACATCCCCACATCTGTCGGTGCAGCAGTTGGTCTTGGCTCTTCATCACGTCCTGTACAGCAGTTGTGCCTGTTTTTTGCCACCGTTATCAAATGGAAATCCTCATCCTGTAATTCATCAAGGGGATGTGTTTCTGTTTATAATCCTGAATTGGTCCATCCATATGTGAGCATGCAATTTTACTGTCTATTAGACTGTTTTTAAATAACTGTCTGAAGAACGTACAGTTCAGCAAAAGTGATGCAAAAAAAATGTGTGACTCAAAAATAACATTTTGAATTATAAAAATAATGTTTGAATTGTTGATGTCGTAATGCAGTGTCTTGTGTGGTTCGGTGACTAACTGCATATCCAAAAGTCTCCTTAGTGCTTTTCAGGGAGTGGAAACATCCGCCTCAGTAATTCAGCACTTGTCAGTTGTGTCAGGATAAGTCTCAGTAGGCAAGAGACAATAGAGACGATTTGGCATGGGTTAGAAAAACAGTTTAGGGCTATATAGCAAAGTCTTTTTTTTTCTGCAGACATCACTCATGTTGTTTCGCATCTGCAGACCTGTGTTCGCTTGCCTAACTTGGTCTTATGCATGGCCTGGAGCTACTGCCCCAGGTTATAAGACTTTTACCAGCCCCGGCTGTGTTTAGAGGCCATCCTGCATATCCCCAGGCCTCATCCTCTCCATTATTGAGACACTCACGGGTACAAGTGGTGCTTATTGAAGTGGAGGGTCGCTGTCATTGGAAATGCCTTCCAGATGCAGTGAGCACATCTCCACACCATTCACTTACAGAATGGTTGAACTTAGAGATGTGTTTTTATATGATAATATATCGTTTTTGTTTGTTGATACAGAAACATAATTCTGTTTTATCACTCCCTTCTTGTTAATCATCTCCAAAACTCCGTTTAATTCTATTAAATATGTTCTTGTCGCTGCGGAACATATTTCAAAACAAGAAACTCAGACATGATTGTAGATGAATGAAATGATGATATCATTTATCTTCTGGAAGCTTTTCTATTTTACTTGTACATCATGATTGCCATTCCACCACCATTTTGATCTTGTTTTATAAAGTAGAAATATTTGCAGAGCATTTTTGAGCTTAGAGTCTTTAAGCAATGCTTTCTATTATAATTTATACCATGATATGTGTTATTAAATGTAACGTATTTGTTTCCTTTGTCTGTAAAGTGGCCATAATTTCTTCTGTACTTGTTTCTTATCATTGCTTTTCTTTACTAGATCACAACAAAGTGTTACCAGGTGGGGACCCCTTTCCCCCAACTCTCTTTCCTTCCTGGTCAGGCCAGGATAATTCTTCCCAGCCTTTTCCTTTGTAACAAGCGGAAGTCACAACAATGTCAGTGTGATAGCCTTCAACAGAAACTCCCTTTTCTCCCCCAGAAATCATCACTAACAGTGTATATATCTGTTGTTGATTCAGATACTTCAGTCATGAGCAATCAAAAGTGGGCTTGCTCAAATGAAATCCTTCAGGATCTTACTGTAACACGTTTCATTGGTTTCCTTTAAACTTTTTCTGTATAGCTAGTCAACCATGTCCAATTAAAGAACAGATGCACAAATGCAGTTTTGGGTTTAGCTGGAAACCAGAAATATCCCCCCAGTGACTAACACTGAAAGAGACTGATGCATTGTATAGAAGTTACCAGCACTGTTTGCTCAAGTCCTGAAGGAAAGGAAATGAAAGAATCGCAGTGCGAAGCAGTTTCACCACTCAGATTTAGTCCCGATTCATAGAATGCAAAGTATTTTCTGAACAGAAGTAACGGCGTGACACCTGCAGGCTACGTTAATGTGGTATTTGCATGATCCTCAGGTGACTCTTTGCTTTCTACAAAAGTTTGGAGAAAATCAACATCCTTCCATCAGTCCTCTTTCATTTACCGTCTACTCATTTACTATATCAGGTTTTCATTGACAGTAGATAATTGTGACACCTCTCTCATTGAATCTTCCCCTGGGTTTTTTGTGGGACTTCTCTTGAAGGCTGTCAGAATGTCTTTGTGTCGATGGTTCTCTCTTACCGTGTCAGTGCCCAGTGCTGTCTGATATTTAACCCGAGGCCCCTATTTACTGTGAAAGCATGCTAGACTAGTCTGCATCAGAGCATGACCTGCATGCCACTTTGCTAGAGTATAACTTGATGCAGAAGGGAAAGAATCCACACCAAAGAGACACCCTGAAAGGCCGTGCTCTGTGGTCCGAACCAATTGCTGAGTTTCACTTCTTTTACTCCATTCTGCAGTAGTTACTTGATTCTACTGGACGTGCTTTTAATGCAACTTAAATAATGAAAAGAAATTTTACCAGCCTATCTGTGACTCCCAGATCCCCTTGCCAGAAATTGTTATGTATGTTAAACATCCTTGTGGAGAAATGAGTATCAGAAATACACAACTTTTCAGGATTGTGTAGCTAATTCCTGCACCCAAGGAAAGTCCATTTCATTTACCATAACTTGGACAAAAAAGAATCTCTGTTAAATGCAACAGCAATCCTCTAGGCACTAGAATTATCTGCAGTTTTGTTCTGTGGACTACGGCATGATGGGTAAGGCATGCTGTGAAAGAGGGTTCTCCAGAGGCTTGAATGTCTTGACCTGTAAGTGAGACAATAGAGCATTAATGAGGAAATTAAATACTTGTTTTATTTAGATGTGTTTAGCCCTGACTGTTCCCTAATTCCTGCTGATCATGAACCAGAGAACAGCCCACTGCTGTTTTCGGGTCGCCAGCAGCATCACATTTACACCAAGATTAAGTCGGGTTTTCCTTCCTACGCCTGTAGAGTTCCAGCTTCCCAAGAACGTGCAGTGCAGTCCAGATGTTTCTAATGGGAATAGCCCAGTGAGTGTGAGGAGTCTTGAGGACACTGCTATGGTATACTGTACTTAAGCAGTATGCTTAATCTGACTTTAGCTTTATCCTGGGCAGGGTGTGTATGTGCTTGTATGTGTGCGAAATTTTCACTGTTAGTCATGCCTGTCTGTAAACAACACAATAGCTCTACTCTCAGAAATGCCTCCCAAATTAAAGGTTCCACAGACTGCTTTAAACTATAATGGGGTCTTGAATTGAATGGAGGAACTCAAAGACCATACAATATGTAATACCCTCATGTCATCATAAACAAAATCACTTTTGTTTCCAATCAAATACAAACTATGGCCCATATGCCTCGCTTGACTGCTTCACTTAATTTTATATGAGATTTATGCTTCCCTCTAGGGTAAAATCATATCTACTGTATAATCCAATGGTTCAACGCGAGGGTGAGTTTCTTACTCTAATGCTCTAACGGCTGTGGTTTTATAATATCTGCTTGAAACCCCTGCCGTCTTATGCAGCAGAGCTACATCATGCGTTTAATATACGAGGTCTGTTGATATAGAACAATGCTTCCCAATTCGGTCCTCGTGGATCCACAGACAGTCCATGTTTTTGCTACCCAGCTACTGGTAGGGAGCTGGGATAGAGCCAATATGTTGACTCTTTGCCAGGACTGTTTGCAGGTAGCAAAAACATGGACCGACTGTGGCTCCCCGAGGACCGGATTGGGAAACACTGATATAGAATGATATACCTGCCAGTCTATTATGAAGTCACATTAACACCAGAGATTAGCTTGTTTTCTAATTTGTTTTTGAGGAAACTATTATTTGATTATTAAACGTATTTAAATGTTTTACATAGTCAACAAGCAAACTAATAAATTCCTTGGCCAGTAGTTGCAGTCTTCTGCAAATTGGAAATAGACCTTCCTCCCCTAACGGTCTATCGTCAGAGTGACCATCACCCATGATTAACATCCCCGCCTTGTGCAGAGACTTACAGTCGCTCGTCTCTGAGTCGCTCAGTCACTATGCGAAGGGACTTCAGACTGCAGCATTAATCTTTTGATGGGCCTGCATGACAACGTCAGGCTGCGGAGAACTGCCAGTGTATCTGGAGGCTTTATCTCCAGCAGAAGTTTCCCAGAAGGATTATTCATCCCTGCGACAAATCCCCAGTAGTGGATATGCAGCTGGACGATGGATAGATGGATGGATGGACAGATGGATGGATGAATGGATGGGTGGATGGGAGGTTGAATCAATAATTTGAATGTACTGTACTATACTTTCATTTGAACACACACAGCCTAACACATCTAAAACACAATAATCCACCTAGATGTAGTGAATAATTTATTGGTTCCCCTATTAGAGATATATGCTAAAATATATTCTCTCAAACATTCTATTTTCAATCTCTTCCTGCAGCATCCTTCAGCTTTTAAATGTATGTAATATAAGTGTCAAAAGAAACTCTGTTTTTCTTTTTTTTTTTGGGGGGGGGGCGTCTATTTTATTTATCTGAAATATCTGCAGGTTACTCTACAGAAACATAGCAAGCACTGCTTTCTTTATAAAAATAAAACCGTTTTTACGGCTAGAGAATGCTGGTAAAAGAAGTTATGTTTCTTTAGAGTAATTTCTTTTAAATTTAAATGCATGTCCTAATAATTGGGCAGCAAACATGCAGCCATCACATGTAATCTAGAATTACATGTCCTGCTTAGTGGAATGTTCTAGAGGGGCATGTGCCGTTGTTATATTACTAACCTCTTACCATTTGCGGTGTCTGTATGAGTAGGGGGCTCTGTGCCCCTCTAACCGTCTCCAGCACCATTTTCCGACAGTGTGTGTCTGCATCTGTATGTATTTTTTTGAAAAAAAATGACTTTGATTAAGTAAAGTGTGTGTGTGACATTGTGTACTTCTGAAGTTCTCAGTGTTCAGTGTGATAAGCTACAACCGTAAAAGAGCAACTTGAATGTAAACGAGCAGCAGATCTGAACTAAGCCAGTGGAGCAACACTGGAGTTTCCATGCAGCTGGTCTCACTGACACTGGTCTCTACTGGGAAGTGAATGCTTTACCTACACAGGCGTGTGTCTCTGCCTGCCTTTGGTTTGTGTTATGTCTGTGGAGCGTGTGTATGTTGAGAAGGCTGACGCTGTCCCCGCTCCGTGTAGAGGGACCAAAGGGAAGGACATCAGCACCATCAAGTCTCTGCGGGTCCTCCGGGTCTTGCGGCCACTGAAGACAATTAAGCGGCTGCCCAAACTGAAGGTAGGTCCCCCCCCCCCAATATTTACAGTAACGATCCAATATACTCATCAATTTCTTGACTTCACCACTCACGGGCCATGTTTGGCTAATCAATACCGCAGCAAGTTATTTAACTGAGATTTACCGATTAACTGAGCTGGTGGTGAAATTTAGCAAATATATGGAATGACTGAGGTGCCCCTGAGGAGAGGTTTGGGAACAGAAGCTGTGTTCTTACCGCCATCCAACAAAATATCAGTAACTAATTAGAGAAAGGAAGCTATTTTTCGTCTATTGCTATTTATTTACATATATTCTAATTTTCCTTTTCAAAAACATGCATATGGGGGCGGCACGGTGGTGCAGTTGTTGGCACTTTCCCCTCACACCTCTGGAACCTGGGTTGGAGTCTCCACCAGGGTTCCGTGTGTGGAGTTGCATGTTCTCGTCATGGGGTTTCCCCCTGGGTACTCTGGTTGGTTTTCCCCCCACGGTCCAAAACATGTTGTAGTTACCAAATTGCCCATAGGTGTGTTCAGAATATGGATGGATGGAAGTATATAAATATTCTGAAAAATAACCTTTAACAGTTTTATAACATATGCACAGTACTTCATATACTGTATAGCCACACCATTGTAAAGAAGAAACGCATTGTGGATTTTTTTAGCTGTATGCAGTGTGTTATTAGCGTGTTATGCTGAGTATGATGAGCCATCAGGGCGTATGGGACTGGCACATGTATGTGTATGTGTCTGTGTGTCTTCAGGCCGTGTTTGACTGTGTGGTGAACTCCCTAAAGAACGTGCTGAACATCCTCATCGTCTACCTGCTGTTCATGTTCATCTTCGCCGTCATCGCCGTGCAGCTGTTCAAGGGCAAGTTCTTCTACTGCACCGACGAGTCCAAGGAGCTGGAGAAGGACTGCAGGTAGAAGAGAAAGCAGTTCACAGGCAACACGGGTGCAGTGCAGGTTCAGAGCCCGGCAGTTCACAAGCGACACGGGTGCAGTGCAGGTTCAGAGCCCGGCAGTTCACAAGCGACACGGGTGCAGTGCAGGTTCAGAGCCTGGCAGCTCATAGGCGACACGGGTGCA